GAACTTGTTGACGACAGCGTATTGTGTTTTGAAATTATAGATTTAAGTTGAGAAATCGGATCTTGTTGGTCATTGTCCTGTGAAATGTTGTCATTTGCAAAAAATGTTTCTTTTACATTTTTGCGTGGTTTTGATCTACGTTCATAAGGCCGACTTCCGAGTTGAGGGGTATTGCCAGAGGATGGTGAATTGTACTTATGTGCTTCTATGTCTTCGTTCGGCTTGCTTCCTTCAGTCGTTTTCTTTTCGTTTTTATGAAGGTATAAAATGAATTCAAATTTACAACATAACAAAACAGTTATTTTATCATTATATCAAATTATTTTGGCTTATTATATTTAACAATATAAAAACATGTATATATAAAGATAGAAAAATATGCCATTGCCTTAATTACTTACATATTTCCTGTAATATCGGCGCCAAAGAAATCGACCACAACATATTCCAACAATTAAAATGCCGACAATTACAATGCAACCAACAGTAAGAATCGAAGTAACCCATTCTATATAAACTGGAAAAGAATAAATTTAAGATTATATTTTCAATATAGCCAATATATGTGTAAACAATAAAAAGATTCTACTAATTTGAAATTAAGCGTATACAAAGTTATGACTAATTTTATGTTATTGCTACTTGCCTAAAATGTCAAATTTAATTAAGATCTTAATCAAACTAAACGGAGTCATAAATTGTATCTTTCTCTGAAACCTTCATAATCAGAAAAGGGTTTGGTTTTGAAACATATTCAAATACTTAAAGCATACCGGAAATAACTTAATGTAAATGATTAAATCAAATGAACGAAATTGATGAAAGGTACTTTTATCTTAAATGTTAGAATAAAATTAAACCTCCTTTGTCTTTTGTATTATGTTTTATTCCATTTCTTGTTGTGTTTGTTGTTCCAATCGGCATAGTAGCTAAGGTTTCATTCGTTAGGATGTTTGTTGTTTCTGTTAACATAGAAGTTGTGGTTCCGTTTGTTAAGATGTTTGTTGTTTCTGCCGACAAAGAAGTTGTTGTGCCATTCGTTAAGAAGTTTGTTGTTTCTGTCGACATAGTAGTTGTTGTTTCATTCGGTAAGAAGTTTGTTGTTTCTGTCGTCATAGTAGCTGTTGTTTTATTCGGTAAGATGTTTGTTGTTTCTGTCGACATAGTAGCTGTTGTTTCATTCGGTAAGATGTTTGTTGTTTCTGTTAGCATAGTAGCTGTTGTTTCATTCGTTAAGATTGTTTTTGTTCCTGTCGACTGAGTAGCTGTAGTTATATTTGTGTTGAAATCAGTTGGTTCTGTGGACACATTGCGTGTAGTTCCATTCGTATTCAATACAGCTGTTTTTGTCGGCTGTGTAGTAGTTTCGATTGATTTCATATGGCTTATTTCTTTAAGTTCAGTAGATGGAATTCCAGTTGTTTTTAATACTGTTGTTTCCTTTGGCTGAATATGTGTGGTTTTGTTTGTTTTTAATATAGGTGTTGCTATTGTTTCAGTAGCTGTAAATGTATGCATTTTTGATACAGTTGTCTGTGTCGGGTGAGGTACTGTTGCTTCGTTTGTGTTAAATACTCTTGCCGTAGTTCCATTTATAATGCTAGTTGTTGCTATCGCTTGTGTAACTGATACCTGGTCTTCTGTTGATCGCATAAATGTCGAATCTTTCATCATTGATCCTGTTGATTTTGAAGATTTTGTAACACTGCCGTTTGACAATATTAAGTCAGGTTGTATGGTTGCTGAACTGTGAAATACTCTTGCTGTGGTAGATTCAGTATACGGTTCTCTTGTTGTTACCTCTGTTGAAATGTCCCCTGTTACCACATAATCCGTCGAGGTAAGATGGTTGTCTGGAGAAACAGACGTCGGTGTCAATTTGACTAAATCTATAATAAAAAAGAATGATTAAGATGCAAAGATATGTATCTTTTGTTCATTTTTATATATGTTCAGGATTTTCCAGTAATTAAAAACATTATGGAGAAAGACAATTAAATTCCTTTAGTATAACAAGTTATAATTTTGACATGTTAAAACGATTTGAAATAGAAATTTATGTCATAATCTTATAAGATGATTCATTATTGTCATATTCCTTGAAGTTACGTTAGAAATTTTCAATTGCATGGTAGGAAATTTCCTCTCCTTTTTTGAAATGCAATTTTACATGTTTATAAACTAGTTTGGTGTATATGAATAAAAGTTATTTTTCTTATTTCGATAGATTGTATTGCCAGATTTCATTGTGTAGTTGGTTTTACAGCCATGGGTCTACGGACCAAAATGCGAATACGGATTTAAGCAATCGATGAGGTGGTGCAATCCATGCGGAATAAATAATACACTCATTTCATTTTTCCCCATTGTATGTCTTCTCTACTATGCATAAACAAATTTGAAAAATAGAATGATTATAAATCTGAATAGTCGGATGAATATAACGACAAAGTGACGTCGTGACAATGCAATACAGGGTGAGGTATTTTATACGGAACATTAATCAAAATGATTGTGATTTGCTGTTTTTAAACTAACTCTACGTGTTGCAATAAAAATATAGGTATGTTGTAAAGACGCATTGTCTCTCTATTTTATGTTTACCCTTAACGTGCACAACTTTAATATACAGCTTCAAAGTTTTTGTAGTTGTTACAGTCACTGTTGAATTTCTATAACAATCCTACATTTCATAAACAGTAAGTCGATAAAGATCAGCATACTGATAAAAGAAATCAGAAAAAAATAAAATAGCTACAGACAGATGGCCAGACGAACGAACAGTGATAAACCGTGACACGAACAAAAATATATTTTCAAACGTGCGTTAATAATCTATATTTACATTGATTTAAACTAATTAAATTAGTTAATTGTATTGTCAATATTTTGAAATACGATACTATTTGATAATACAGCAAGGACACGCATCTTCAATTCCTTTTAATAATCCAAGTTTATAATAATACTCGTATGTATATATCATTCACGGGATTTCATTGAAATCTATATTTTAATCTAATTGTCTAATAATCAAGGTTTGGAAAAACTCTTTGAATGATAACAATAACAGATATTACTGAATTATTGAAGACGAATTCTATTTATGATTCGTGCTGCCACAATTGTGTTATAGTTTAATTTCAATGATATATAAAGTATTTTTGTTTTCATTTCATTTTTAAAATATTTCAGAAAAAAATCTTAATCCTTTCAACATGGCCTTAATGTTTTCGCACACTTGATCGACTTACTAGGCTTAAAGTTCGAACCCGTGTGAGACAGAAAGATATCACACATTTTTGCATGTTTTGTAGCTTCGGTTTTAGTATACTTACTAAGTTGAAACACTAAAATCGTTGTTTTTAGTAACATCCTTGCAAATAACTCCATTTTAATTCAAATCTACTTTTAAACACATATTCATCAACAAAACAGCAATGTTGAACGTATAAATAAGTTCGAATTTATTATATTGTCTTTCCAAACTATTGCATGGATTTCCTGTAACTATATTTAGCCGTGTAGAATGAACTAATTATAACCCATTCAAATGTCATTGAAGCATAACAGAACCACTGTATGGCAAATAAACATACAAATCTCATTGAAGCATAGAAGAAATATTGTACAGCATAAAAACATTCAAATCTCATTGAAGCATAGAAGAAATATTGTACAGCAAATAAACATTCAAATCTCATTGCAGCATAAAATAAATATTGTACGGCAAATAAACATTCAAATCTCATTGAAGCATAGGAGAAATATTGTACAGCATATAAACATTCAAATCTCATTGCAGCATAAAATAAATATTGTACGGCATATAAAGATTCAAATCTCAATGAAGCATAGAAGAAATAGTGTACAGCATATAACATTCAAAATCATTGCGCATGCATAGAATGAATATTGTACAGCATTTAAACATTCAAATCTCATTGAGGCATAGAAGAAATAATGTACAGCATATAAATATTCAAATCTCAATGAAGCATAGAAGAAATATTGTACAGCATATAAACATTCAATATCATTGAAACATGCATAGAAGAAATATTGTGCGGCATATAAACATTCAAATCTCATTGAAACATAGAAAAAATATTGTACAACATGTGAACATTCAAATATCATTGAAACATAGGATAAATAATGTACAGCATTTAAATATTCAAATCTCAATGAAGCATAGAAGAAATATTGTACGTCATATATACATTCAATATCATTGAAGCAGGCATAGAAGAAATATTGTACGTCATATATACATTCAATATCATTGAAGCAGGCATAGAAGAAACATTGTACGTCATATATACATTCAATATCATTGAAGCAGGCATAGAAGAAATATTGTACGGTATATAAACATTCAAATCTCATTGAAGCATAGAAGAAATATTGTACGGCATATATACATTCAAATATTACTGAAGCATAACAGAAACATTGTACAGCATATAAACATTCAAATCTCATTGAAGCATAGAAGAAATATTGTTCGGCATATATACATTCAAATCTCACTGCATCATTTGTTTTAATTATTAATCGCCACGCGTTCCGTGCAGTATTTTGTTGACGTTATGCTGTAATAAGTTAACAAAAACACCTTCTAATTTTATCAAATTGAAGCAGGAATGGTCATCTTTACAAATTTAGTTAAATCAAACTGTGGAATACTGATGTTAGGTTAACGTTATGTGTTAAGATATTTACTATTGGAAATTTGAATCATTTTTAAACTAACAAATTACGAAATGGTGCATGTCCATAACTATTGTCTTCACTATTTATATACATGTATAAGGCATAAACTATATTATGACGCGTACACCTTTACAGTGCTTTATAACTGTTGTTGGGCATGGGGAAATGGTACAAAACTCATAATTACATCTAAAAATTTAATTCAATCCGAAAAAGAATTACTAAATTAAGCGCCCGATACTTTCACAAACATTAGATCTTTTAAATATAACTTAAATGTCTCAAATTCAATTTTAAGGTGAAAAAATCACACAGCAATTATGCTACATACAGGACATCAACTTAAATCTACGTATTGTGCCAGCAATTTAATCATTCCTGATTCTGGAAGCTTTTTCTTTAATGTTATACATTTCCCGGTAGAATCCTGTGTTTTTAATCTGTTTTCGTGACTTCTGTCAAAGTAGTTAATTCGTTTATTTTACACTCAAGATTTTAATGTTCGATTGTTTATGATGCAGCCTCACTTAATATATAGATTTGCCTCATAAATCCATCTGAATTTAATTGTTAGCACTGTATATTTATGATAATTTGCAATGCACTTTTCAATGTCGGCCATGTTGGACTATTACGTAGAGGTTACGTAGTGAATGCAAGGGATAGTTCTTTATCCGATTGCGCATAAAAAGGAACACGTTTAATTATATATTTTACTTTCGATATTAGCGCATGATAGCTTATATTTTTAAAAATCATTTGTTGAGGCTGTGACAAAAATTAATTTTGGTGCTAGGTTGAGTGCATTTCAGCTCTAACATAAACTCGTCTAGCTATCATTTAATCAAAACAGGGTCTTTCAAATAGATCTAGCGTGCAGAGCTGAATCGGTTAAATTGCTAAACTTGTAATCTGTCCATTGTGGGTTCGATTCCCGGGATGACCAACTGAAATACATAGAAATTTTTCAGACGACACTTTAAAGCGAGGTCCCTGTATGAGTGCTTAAACTCTTGGATATGTAAAAAAGAAGGAGAAGATTGTTTGGGGTCCTGCTTGGCTCTTTGACGTTGGTCATTCTGTGTTGCTAGATAGTGTCGGGGTTGCGTTCATTGAACACCGCCTTCCTTATTGATCTTTTTTTCATATTTTTCTAAAATTAGGGCATCTTGCTATCTGTATCTTGCACTGTCCTCCAACACCTAGAACGACTTATACTCTTCTGGAGGACTCGCCTATACGGGCAACCGATGGCGAGTATTTAGAATTTCAATTACACACACATATTTTCTCAGTTTTCACACACGTCCATGGAGGTTTATAAAAGTTTTCAATTTTCATTTACAATCTTTTATGGAAAACTTTGATTTCAGAGTGTAATATTCCTTCCAAAACAGAAATCAAAGAAGGGGTGGGGGAGAAATCAGAGGAGAAGAAGGCAAGCAAAAATGCAAACAAAAGAGGGGGTGTGAATAACGGCTGGAAAATGGGATAGCATGCCATACGAATACCATCCGACAGCCGACCGGATATCGCACGTATATTTAACCGTCACCGCACGATTGTTTCAAACAGGCCTGATAACGGAAGGCAATTGGACATTTATCGTACGGTAGTCTGCCGGGTACCTTTAGAATATCGACCGGTGTCCAGAAAGAAGACGCCAAGGGTTTTCACCGGGTGACCGGGCGAGTACCCTTCGGAAACCGTCCGAATACCTAACTGACCACAGAGGGAGAATGACCGCCCACTTCTTCCCGGACATGATTGAAATGTTTCTCTCCGATCTCAAATTATCAACGGTGTCCCATCGATCCCTCTATATCGGCCGGTCCCCGCTTGTAATGTGACGTAGGCATAAACGATCTACATGTAGCTAAAGTTGTTAAAAACTTAATATGATTACGATATTTTAATAAAGGTTTAGAAACGTTTTCATTTTGCGTGCGTTTTAGCGTGCGTATATCGTTTAGCGTATTTCGTTTAGCGTATATCGTTTTGCGTGCGTCTGCGTATTTCGTTTCGTATAGCGTGCGTATAACGTTCGCTCGTATAGCGTGTAACGTGCGTGCGTTTTTTCCAGAGCGTGCGTTTTTGCGTGTAAACTGAAACGTTCACCCTACTGTAATTACTATATGAGTCTTGAAACAATCTGGCTTCGTTATATATGAATGACATTTTTAGTTTCTTTCACCATGAATTACATAATTTTGCTTAATATCTCATAAGGATCTTGTTCTGAAAAAAACTATACCTCATACTTATGACTTAAACGATTCTTTTCCTTTTTCAGTATTAATGTTTGGAACAAATTATTATCAAACAATGCTTGACATTACACTCTTTCACAAACTGCTGTTAAATCATTTTCTAACTTTACAGTTAAATACATGATGAAAATTGACCACTATACACTTAGAGACACTAATAACCCGACACTTACATTTTTCAGTATAAATTGGATATTTGTGGACGTATTTTGTTTAAATTTGGACCATACAAAATTCAAAATATAATACTTACTACTTAGAGTTGTATTTACTATTCATTGACAGGAAAATAGAAAAAATAACAAAACAAATAGCTGCTATAAAATAAAAAAAATCACAGAATGGCTGTAAAAATCGTAACTAAATGAAGAGTCTCTTAATCCCACTAATGACTAAAAATTTTAGCTGCTGTCCAATTGTCACGGTGGCCGGACGGACATCGGCCGATATTACGATATTTGGGAGCAAGCCCTTGTTTAGGTATGGAGTAATATTTCCCAAGCCTTCATGAGAAACTACGTCATTTTGATGAAACAAAAGGTATTAGCACGTTGTTATAGCCATGGAAGGACACACAATATTAGAACTGGTTAACATACAGATAAAGTGGGACTCCAAGACTGTTCATTTTGATACAATATAGGTTGCGTTGTCGCTATCGACAACGCAACGCGCAATGTACCAAATCAGCCATCGATAAATAAGAGTGTCAGTCGGACGGATGAATGAAAATATCTTACCTTTTGAAGAATATATAATTTTTGTTTGCACGGAATAAATCGAATTTTGTATAGATCTGCAAGTATTTTTCTTTTTTATCAATTGTTATTCTTTTTTATTTGTTTTTGTTCAGAAGGTTACTGAGAATAAGTATACATGTTCTCTCTGTAAACTTTGTATGTACTAGTAACCTTCTTTAAATAAGGATTTTATCATTATTCTCCATTAGCATCATTTAAACATTGTATTTTTTCGCGTCGTACGTTTTTGCGATGCTTAAATACTTCATTGTGAAAAAGTTTGAGATAGAGAATAAAGATATAATGACAAAATTTAACATTGGCAGTGAAAACAATTTGTTTCTTTAACTTTTATTACGTTTAATTTAGAATTTCCGAAATGATTCGATTTAGTAGAAAAACGAAATTGAACTGTTTTACATTTTCAAATGCACCGAGTCGCAGATTAATGTTCGAGTAAAAAAATGTATCAACAATACAGACTTACGGAATTTGACTACATGTGAAGAGTTATTGTCATTTTTTTTAGATTTCGCGTCCCCGTCCGAGAGTGCTTTGAATATTATTATTTCCA